TTGGGTGTGGGTGTGGGTGTGGGCGTGGGTGTGGGTGTGGGTGTGGGTGTGGGTGTGGGTGTGGGTGGGTGGGTATCGGTGTGGGTGTGGATGTAGGTGTGGGAGTGAGTGCAGGCACAGAATACCTTTACACCCACACCCAGTCACACCCAACCACAACCCACACCCACACCCGCACCCACACTCACACCCACACTCACACTCACACCCCACACCTCACCCATACCCACATCCACCAACACACCCACACCAACACATCCACACCCACACCCACACCCATAGCCACATCCACACCCATACCCACACCCTAGGAGCAACCATGATGTCGACATTTCATCTCTGCAATGAGAATCTTCAGATGGCAGTCGTTTCGATCCAATGAATCAGAAACTAACTCTATATCTATACTGTAGCTGGTAAGCTATAATAGATTGAATATACAGTGGTGTGTAGGAGCAACCATGATGTGGACGTTATGTTGTTGAAGTGTATTATTGTTTGAGACGAGTTTTGTTTTTTTTTGTTTTATTTTATGTTGCCGATGGAAATTGTGTCTTATTCTGGGTAGGGGTTTTTGTGTTGGCTTACTTTGAAATGTGTATTTTTATTTGTTTGGTGTTTGTGTGTTTTTTTATTCGGTTGTGTTCGTTGTTTAGTTGGTTGACATTGTATTGCCGCCGTTGGATCTTAATGTAGTGTATTGTCCATTGATATCGGTCTGTACTTGTGCTTCTCTGCTTGTTTTTTCTTCTGGTGTCCTTTTGAGGTCGTTTAATATTTTTATCTAAAACTGAAATTTTTTTTCTATTTTGGTGTCGGATCGAGGAATTTATGGAACTTGGTTTTTTTTTTAATTTTTTTTTGTTCAAATGAGGGAAGTGGAAAAGATTGAAGAAGAGGAAGGGGAGAAAGGCAGGGGGAAGGAAGATAATGAGAATCGAGAAAGTAGTTCAGAGTGTTTTTGTAGGTTTGTTGGTTATTTCCACTGATGGCCATTGGTTTGTATTGGTATTATGAAGTTGGTCGTGATTTGTTTGTTGCATTTTCTTCTGATTCTAGAAAGAAATTGGATAATGGAAATTGTATGTGGAGGGGAAAAGAGTCATTATTGAGAAGTGTTTGGCACACGGTATGATCGGTCTTATTTTGTTGTCCTTTGAACGTGAGATGTTTTGGTTGTGGTCTCTTTCTTATGAGTTCACGTTGCGTAGAAGGACTACTTCGATGACCAACAATGAGTCGAAGAGCTTCAATTGCAAGGCATTTAAAAGCTTTACGAAAAATTTCATGCATATCTTTTTTCGTCGTTGTGAATCGTTTCTCATGCGTATAGTGTATAATGGCTTTATCTTGAAATTTGGTTTTTGTGCCTTGCTCTGTTGTGGTAGTAGGGAGTCTTGGTATGGTGGCGGATAGTGGTTGTTCCGCAGGATATTGTCCATTGTCATCTTTGGATTGTGTTATTCGTGCTTCTACTTGTGATTGTCGAGATGTTGGTTGACCCATGAGTTTGTTGCGTAATTCGGAAAATTGTCCTTCATTATCGATTAATGGTAGGATCGAAGTAGATGAAATAGAATTGCCGAAGACTTTTCGAAATTGTTGGTCAATATAAGTAGATGGATATCTTAAAAAGTAACCCAAAAATGAATGAATCTATGATTGTCAACTGAAAAGTTGACTTACCCATTAAATAATAACATGAGTCGTATAGCACGTCGTTCTATATTAAATGCTGCAAATGTCGATGAATATCGAATAGCTCGAACAAGAGCCGTTTGTATAATGTTTGAAAACGTATATCGAGGATGATCAGAGATGAATGGAACTACACATGGTTCGGCTGATGGCTTATGGTAAACAGAAGTATAAAGAACTCCATTGTTATTGCTTACGAGAACATCGAGAAATGGTACACTATGACCAATATTCCATTCCAATTTGATGTTAGGATGCCATCCATTGGCATCTTTTAATAGTTGTTGAACTGTTTCGATAGGTTCGTTCGAAGTAAAGAAGACATCATCAATATATTTATAACGATAAATAGAAAATAATAGGATTAGTTTTTTTCAGGTAGAGATTTAGCTGTCACATACCGGCCATAAATTTCTTTTTTGCTTTGTTGTCGTCGAACCCAACGTTTTTCCCAATGCCACATAAAAATATTAGCTAAAGTTAAAGTAAATGGTGAACCCATAGCACCACCAATAATTTGCTTATAAAATTTATTATCATATATAAAAGCGTTTTCTTTCAAGACAAGTTCGGCTAATTTTTGAATAGTCGCAATAGAGACACCTTTGACTCTTTCACCGACATGTTGACGAAGAAAATCACCTAGAATTCGTATGGCTTCATCTTATGGTAACATTGTATACAAATTATTGATATCAAAGGTACAGAAAAGAGTCTCTGGTTTAAGATGACCATTAGCTGCATAGTTTTCAAGACACTTGAGGAGATCAACACCATCGGTAAACGTATTGTCTTTATTATATTCGTCATAGATAGGTCGGATCAGTTCATCTAAGAAATCAGAAATAGGTCTTGTTACTGCTTTAATTGTATTCATGATTGGTCGTAATGGTGTTCCTTTCTAAAGTAGAACAGAAAAAAAGACAAATTTTATTATCGATTATCAACATCCAGCGAGAGGATCAACCTTGTGTGGCTTCGGATTGTAATACTTGTAAGATAATTTGACGTGTTCTGGATTGGGTACCAAACGACTGTAATTATAGTTTGTCAGTCCTTTATTTTGTTTCATAACATTAAGTGCATTTGTCACATTTGTTATCATATCCTTCAATGGATTGTAAGATAATTCTTGATAGGCTTTTGTATCTTCTCGATATTTAGCTGCTTTTCTTTCATAATCACTTTTACTACCAATATGTAGACCACCTCCTTTATCACATACACGTATTATAAGTTTTGCTTTCCGTGCTTTTCGCCGAATAGATTTGACTAATCTGAATTCTCGTTGAGCACGCATGAAATCGACATAGGATTAATGGAGCCATAAAACATTGACGTAATCGATTTTCAACCAGTTCACAATAATGATCCATCATAGCCTGTGGCGGATCTCTCTTGCAGTAGTTCTTTATTTGACGATGGACTTTTTCTCTGATATCTTTCAATTCATTTTTTATTTGTGTTTCTCGATGTTCTTCTCGACGAAGAGCACTTTGATTTGGTCGTATATAACTTTCGCCTAGAATAGAATAATCATTAAAAATATCCATATTTAAGAGAATCTATTCCATCATTATTATTATTATTATCATATTTACCTCGAGATAGATAAGACAATTCATCAGGTTTAAATGGACAATGAAGAACATCAATTGTTACTTCGGGAGATACACCGACCATTTTCTTCGTTGATGACGAACGTTGATAACGTTGTTCAATGATTTCACGAAAATGAGCAATTTTATTCAGGATGTCATGTATGATTCGATTTGTATGAAGAACTATGTAAGCTTTGAAAGCATCGATAAGAGAAAGTTCATTGATTTGAATTGTATTAGGGAAACGTGATTGAAATTCTTTCAAACCTTGTTGATATTGTTGTTCATATTCTTCAATCTTATATTCATAGGCAACATAAAAAATATTGAGCAAAGTACGTTTTCCTTGCTTTAAAATAGTACGTCGTTTTCTTTTGATAGTGACTAAAGTACGATCAGCAACAGGTGGCCAATAAAAATCGGGTGCAGTGATCTTTTCAAATTGATCAAAGTTAGGTGGTAAAAATTGATAAAGAATGCGTTGTTCTAACATAATAAATTCTTCATAGACTTCTAATTGTGCTCGTTTTAGATCAATGAGTTGTTGAAGTACTTCTCATTGAATAGTGATTAAATTGTCGGTAAACAATTGTCGATAGAGTTGTTGATCACGAATATCATTCTTACATCGAATCAATTGATGATCAATTCTTTTAATGAGATAGTTTTGTTGTAGAAAAACATAATCTTTCAAGTTCATATCCATAATACCTAATGATGGTAATAGAATTGGTATCGATGTTTCTGCTTGTTAAATCAATTCCTTATTACATTACTTCAATTGACCGTTAATCGTCTCCGACTGCATCTTGACATATTGTTGACATATATTGGACTGATCCGTATGGGCCATATCATATAATTGATGCTTGAAATAAAGAAAAAAAATTATTACAATAACAGACATTGTCATTCATAAAATTTACTGGCCATAAATTTTCTTGATGAAAAAGATCTAAATAGGATTGCCATAAGTGTTGATCGAGTTCAAGGCGAAATTGACGATCGAACAATTGTAATCGTAAATGAATAAAGATTTGTTCATCTTTTTTATTTAATGAACAATTAAGTTCTTGACGAAGTGCTTGAAAAATAAGATGTGGTAAATGAGTTAAATAAGCTGGCATTCTATATGTAGAACAGAGAGATTAATCAAAAAATAAAAATGTTTGATGATAAGAACAATAGCCTTACGGATAATTCTTATTCATACGAATACCATTCACTGGAATGGATTGAATGAAACTGGTTTTTTTCATTTTTTTGACTGCTCGTGGCCGAATGTTCAATTGATTGGATGCTGATGATGATGTTGGAAGCAGATGACGTTGTAGATCTTGAGATGAGATATCTCTTTTACGTTTGTTATTCGATGCAACACGTTTGACCTGATTTTGATTGACATCTTGTTTTTTCTAGGTACAATAGTAGACATCCAAAGATATGATATATGGTCGACAACACTATACTATTATCACTTACTGGTATTGATGCAGCTGTTGTTATTGTTTCCTTCTGATGTACAGTTGTTGTCGAAACAGTTACATTCTTCGATTGTTTCGCCTTTTGTTTTTTTTAGCACGTTTTGGTGCTTCAAGTCTTTTGTCAACCTCTTCTTTACTCATACCACGTTTATATCGTCTTCGACGGAAACGTCTTCGTTGTTTATGTCCATGGTATTTTTTTCTTCGTATTTGTCGACTTGTTTGTATGGGTGGATTGGTTACCGAACATGATTCTAAAGGTGGATCACTGGAAGAAATGACGGTCGTATCATTCACATTCGTATTCATGATTGAGAGCAAAAAACAATAAATATTTAAAATCTAAAATGAACACATAGAATGAAAACGGCAAGATCTTTGACACAATGGCAGTAATGAAAAAGAGAAACAAAAAGAAACTCAAATAGGGATAAGAAAAACTATGACAAATAAAATATGAATAATTCGATGGCTATGGTAGAATCGATAAAGTTTGAACTTTGAAATCATGAATACATTTGAGTCGTTTTCCAATAATTTGAGCACGTTGTCCAATTAATTCAATCATCTTTGTCGTTAATTTTTCTGTATCTGGAAGCGAATGTTGTTCATGTTGTATTTCTTTCATTTTATCATTGTATTGATTTTGATAACGTTGTTTTTGACTAGTAGCTGATTGAGTATAGAGAGTAAACATATTCGTTTGTGTTTGTTCGATCACTTGTCTATATTGAACATAGAACTGTTTTTGAACGTCTATATTACGAATTGAATCAAATAAAGGTACACGAGCTATAGGCAGATGATCGAAAGTTAACAAAGATTTATGATGAATAATTTGTTTTTCAAGTAGTTCCGATGTATATTTGCTGATTTCTTCTTGTTGCTTCGCCGCACAGAGTTGTTCCGCTAATTTTATCTAATTGGAGAAAAAAGTTTGGTAGATAGATCGATGAGAAATTTTCAATGACCTTACTTGAGTTTCACTGGGATTCTGTTTAAGATAGTCGAGTTTTAAGATATGTTCTTTATAATCATAATGTACTAGTTGTATTTTATGTTGAATTTTTTTCCGTAGACCAGTCAAATTTTCTTCCACAAATCTTTCAATTGCTTGTTGAATCAGGGTTGAATCGTTAGGCAGATGATTCTTTTGAACATGAAGATCAGTATGAGCTTGTTGAATCGCTTTGTCTAGTTGAGTTAGACGATTCTTCACATAAGTTAAACAGGCTTCGTTTTCTTCGGTACCTGAACGAACAGTTACTTTCAACATTGATTGAACTGGTTTTACCCATAATTGTGATCCTAATCCATTGCGAGAATAGTGAGTCTTCAATTGACCCAAACCTGATTGTAAATAGACAGTCCAAAGAGAACATAAAATCTCTACACTCTAAAAAAAAAAAGGAGTTTTACCGAACCCTCAAAAAAGGTTTCGTAGATGCTTAAAAGCTTCTAAATGCGTTCAAACGCTTAAATAAATGATTATCAAAATCTACGAAACCTTAAAAGGATCTGACCG